TGGTTCTACATTTTCTTTATTAAAGAGCCCTTAGAGAACCATATTTTTAAGAATGTATGTCCCCCATCTTTCTTATATTTTTTTAACTTAGGTTAGTTGAAATCGATGCAGGCTGAATTGGCGGATATATGAAAATGTATTGGTTTTTGTGACATCACAAAAAAGTGAATTCAAAATGGGCTGTCATTCCAGCTTGGGGAATAATAATATGAGATGGCTGAATAAACAGTACAAAACATCTGCTGCAGGATATTGCATAGCATTTGCTTAGAAAGCGTTGTTGGAAAATCCTTTCTCACCCTCCCTCCCTTTTTTTCCTGAGAAAATGAAGATGAACACTATTCAGTCCTTCTCTGCTGCCTCTCCATCATGATCAAGTGCATCCATGTGTTGATTCGCATTCAACAGTTGGCACTCTTAAGTAGAGTGGTGCTCCCTTTTCATTTGAATTCATTTTTCAAGCCATTTACAAACTACCACAAATCGTTTATCATCCTAAAGGAGGCTACAGGCACTTCCACAGCTCTCTGTCTGAAGGATTCATTGCTGGCTGGACGAGGCAAGGGTTTAGAGTGTGGGGCGTGACTTCTGAACCCAACTGGCATTATCTCATTTCCCGTATATCCCCCCCTGCGTGGTGACAACAAAGATCTACATGGTTGATGTCTGCTTTTCATCTGATTGCGATTCCCTCGCTGTGTCATCGGCACGCCACTTCAGATAAGGGGAGGAAAAAATGATTTATTGGCTGCTGTCAGAGTGAGGTAGCCTCGCCGGCCTCCAGACGCAACACTGCTCATAGAGATACATCCGTGGACACGGTCAGCAGGGATGGCCTGTGACAGGCTTAAGGGCTATGGAGAGCAGCACCGGGCATGGACTCAATAAGCCTCCTCTGCAAAACCTCAATGCTGCAAAGGCATGCTAATGCAGGGATATCGGTAAACACCAAAACATTAGGTTTTAAGAGCATTACATGGCCAGGAACACACTGGAAAATGATTTACTTGGCGCATTTAGGCCTGACAGTCAGGCTTAAGCCGTATTCGTATAGAAAGGTAGTGTGGAATAAACAGGTTATAAGGGCTCCCTTTCAACTTTAGCCACTGCACTGATGCAGACAGGCTTTTAGCCACTTCAGATCTCAGGCTTGTTACATCCATCCATCCATCCATCATCTAAACCGCTTATCCTTCTGGGTCGTGGTGGGGTGGCTTGTTACATACTAAGGCTTATTATTCAGTAACTACAGGGACCTCAATGCAAACTTGTTGAGCTATTCTTAGGTTATAGATATGTGTAATAAAGCTTTGAGCCCGCCAGCAGGCCTTGGCCATTTAAGGGGTTAAAAGCACTGGATTGTAAGGCCTGGGTGGTGGAAAGTATGCTTGCGTTATCATTTATAGCCTCATGGGAGAACATAAGGCAACTAACGCTCTTCAAGTTAGGTACCGCCATTATCACACAGTAATCATGTCTGCTGTCCGCCATCCATCATGAGCCACTTTGATTATGCAGAATATCTGAGTCAGATAAATCACACTCCTCTGTACAGCAAGCTGATGAATTACCCAGACACAGTCCGCAGCCTGATCAAATAGATCTTCACGTGTCATTCCTCAGCAGATATTGCAGACTCAGGTAAACAGCTGGAGCTCTGTTTAGCCTACTGAGTTTCATCAGCATAAACTGCTGGAGTTTGTTTAGTGAACGTTCTTTGGGGAATGACAGAGAAAGACCAAAAGTCTGTTTTTTTCTGAAATCAATCCTAATAGGATAGAGTTTGTCCCCCTCTGCTGCAGTAACAGCCTCTACTCTTCTGAGAAGGTTTTACACTAGATCTTGGAACATTACTGTGAGGATTTGATTGCATTCAGCCACAAGAGCATTAGTGAGGTCTACTACTGATATTCTGGATCACAAATGGCACTCCAACTCATCCTAAAGCAATTGGATGGAGCACTCCAGAGAACGCAGTTTTACTGCTCAAGCCCAGTGCTGGAGGGCTTTATACCCCTCTAGCCGATGCTTGGCACTGGATATGGGGAAATAAGGCTCATGTGCGATTGCTCCAGAGTGTCCCATTCTATCTGTGATGCATTTCTTTAGAGATTATACAAGCTGTTTGTGTGTAACTGAATGTCTGTGTCAGAAGTGGGTGCATCTTAAAGGGAAATTTTACAAAAATTCCAGCAAAATTCAATTGTTGAGATGTAAGCAATGTCATCCAATGGTGCATTGCATAGAAACTTACTGAATTCTTTGCAGTGGTGGTGACAATAGGTTGTATTATAGGCATCTCATTTGCTATCCTAAACGACCAGTGAACCTATATGTTTTCTGAGATTTTATATGGAATATTGATAAAAATAATGGTAAATCCAGAAAATAAATGTTTTCTTTGGGTACATGCCCTGCATGCATGGATTTTGAAAAATGTTTTAGGTCAAAACCTTACCTCTCATAAAACAGTATCTCAGGCATCAAGCAGCATATTCATAACCATTTCATGTAATAACTTCCTGTGAGCCAGCTGTTAGAGCAATTATGCACTTTGAACATCTCGAATGCACTCTGACAGATTCTTACTTGGCAAGTTTGTCTGGCATCAGAACACTTGGAATGACTTTTTTTTACATCTTAATGATTTGATTATGCAGGTTGTTTAATTAAAAGGTGGAATTTCCATTTAAAGTAGCTGAATTCACTAATAAGAAAGGGTGTCTGTCTACCTTTGGACATTGTACTTGTACAATGAAGCTTACTAAAAGGTTTTTCATCTAAACCTTTTTACCACACTGTTTGGACACTTCAGCACCCAGAAAGTAAAGTGAACAATTACTTTGACATGAATAAAAGACATTTAACATAGCTAGGTTACAAGTAGATTAAGGCTATAAACATGACTGTGTATGCAAATATGTAAATTACCTAAATTATGTAAATTAGCTATGTTCTGATTGGCTGCCTTGTGCTTCATTCAAAAAGAAGTCTGAACTTCAGTATGAATAGGCATGGATAAACAGCTATATGCTCATTATATATGAATGTAAATGCATTGATTTTCATGACATCACAAAAACACTGAATTTAAAATGGGCTGTTTTTGCAGTTTCATTTCATATGTGGAGTTTATGGACTGGTGAGTGAATGAAAGGTTTTGGACTGTTCAAACATAAAACTCAAAAAAGCAATCAGTTTTTCATGACATGGGCCCTAGGATTGTTAATCTGAGTGATATGTTCAAATAGGCGGTAGGTTACAGTAGATGTAATCGTGTAATAAACAACATATACACACACTAACACATTTGCATTCTTATGACACTTCTACAAATACAAAGCTGCTTAAAAAAGTCTTTTTTTTCCCATCTAAACTAAAGAAAAGTATCTGCAGTATTACTTCAATGCTAATTTTTCCTTTTACACTTAAAACTATGTTTTAAGAATTATATTCTTCTCATGTTACACTGTGGTGGAATAGCCTGAGGTAAAAGATATTATATATTAATGATAAAAATGATTTGTTTTGGGCATTTGGTTGAACAAACCTTTTAAATTTAAAACAGGGAAACAATCTTTTACAGAACATCATAAGAAAAAGTGAATATATGCATTGCATTGAATTATTCATCTTATAGAATATATATTAGGGATTAATGCACAGCATCCTTTCTGTTGGTCAGGATAAAGAAACATTTAATTAACAAGAAATTGAATTCAGGCCCTAGACACTGAAATGCATTTCTGTGTAAAAAGAGCCTTACGTTATCACAAAAATGAAACTGTAATTAATACTGGAGTTCTTCCTCTCTAGCTGTACACGATGACATCTGCTTGTTAATAACTGATGTCTCAAAAAAAGTCAGCACTGGTTTGACACTCTTGACAAAAAGGTGTAAACCTTTTTGGTGAACAATTTTTAAAGGTTATTGAAAGAAACTTTATTTAAAAGTTTTCCATCATAGAGAAGAATCATTTAACCTTGCCTAAACCCATTTATGCATTATGAATGTTTCTGTGAGTTGTCATATATAACCTTTGCCTTTGCCAAATAACTCTTGAAGGACTACTTTAAAGGGTGTATTCTCTCTGTTATAGACATAGTCATATGCAAACACTTGAATGCCCCTGGGCAAATTCCATGTTTTGCTGATTTTCTAAGTGAAAATAAATGAACACATGCTCTACAGGGAACAAACTTAAAGGAGAATTCTACTGATATTTCAACAGTTCTGCCTAATTAAATCGCTAACATGTAAACAAAGACATCCAGAGTGTTTTGATGTGTAGTGTTCCGTTCCGGAGAAACTTACAGATTTGTCCACAGTGATGATGATAGGAACCAGACGTCTGAACCCACTTAATGCATCTAAAAGCTCCCTCACAGAAAGTTATTACGTGAAATGGTTAGGAATACACTTCCTGATGCTTCAGACACTGTTTTACGAAAGATCTGAGATAAGCTTTTGGCCTAAAACATATTTTTACACTCCATTAATGGTGGAAAGGAGCATGCAGGATGCTGAAAGGCAAATGGTACTCAAAAAAAGAAGAATGAATAGCATTCTAAACTGGCTATATTTGCATTGTAGACACTGTGACCCCTGGTTCCTATCACTACTATTGTACCAACTATTGATTTGAGTTGATATTTCTCTTCAGTGCACTCTCACGTCACATAACCCTACATGACTGTACACCTCAAAGACAGAATTGTGCAGAATTTTTGGTGGAATTCCTTATGAAATGTGGCATTTTCTGCAAATTTAGTGCACAATTTCTATTTATTTTCAACATGTTCCACATGTGCCATAATATTATAGTTTATTTTTCCCATTATGTTAAAATCAGCAAATAAACAGTAATCGTGCATTCAAATGTGCAGAAGCTTGTTCTCTGTAGAAGATGTGTTCATTTATTTTCACTTAGAAAATCAACAGAACATGTCATTTGACCAGGGGCGCCAAAACTTTTGCATACGACTGTATCTACAACATTTGGAAAATGATAAAAATCACATTTTTTCTCACCCCCAACAGAGGCAGTTGTGTTGTTTACGCCTGAACTCGCCTGCGTCGCCGCTGCTGCGCGTTACGCCCGACTGACCAATTAGCTTGACGCTGGGTGGAGGAGTAACGCACGTCTGTTAGTAAGTTGGTAACGCTGCGGGTCTGCTCAGTTCCCTCCCCACCCGTATTCAGACCCAAACCTCACCTCTTGCTCTGGGATTGGCTAGTAGTTTACACTCGCCTTAAGTACAGCCAATCCTAGCACCGAATGCGAGGAGGTACCAGCCAATCACCGCGCAGGAGGCGGGGTTTGTCGGATAACAGGTGGGTAAAAAATAACAACACCAAAGAACCTGCTGGATTCGAGTTTAAGCGCGCGACCACGGCGCTCGCTTAGTTTTGTGGGGTCGCCGGGCTTTCTCCCCGGATCAGCGCCCGCTTGTTGCTCGCACAGTTTAGCGTACGAGCTTAAACCCCACATGTTTCCGAAGTGAGTCTGCGCTGCGTAGGTTCTTCTTTATAAAGTGGAAGCTTCTATGGAAAACCTGATAAACTCCAGTTCGAGAGGAAAGTCTGCTCGGTGGTTCATATGAGGCGACGGTCTCGCGATCTTTACCCTGGATTTAGCAAATGGTCCCGGCGCGATCAGCCTCTGCTCGCTTTCCAGCCGGAGGAGAAGCAGCGAGTGAGAGTCGGAAACCTGCGTAACGCGATAGATAGGTAAGGCAACAGCTCGTGTTGTTTCAGAGGCGGGGTGTCCTGCAACGTGTTGAAAGAGGCCAGAAACTCTGCTCGACCCCCGCGGTGAAGAGAAACTGCAGAGGCAGACCGGAGCTGGGGGGACGCGTCTGAGGAATAACGATATTGTGAATAATGATTTTCTTTCAGGACTGGATTTAGGGGCACTTGCGTAGGCACTGGCGGATAAAACGGACTGTGCAACTTTTCCACTGGCGGAAAAAAGGGGGAAAAGTAGAGTACCGAGATCTGGAATGACGAAATTCTCCTTCAAGAGGGAATGAGAAGCCTGGGACAGAATAACCAGAAGCCTCGCTAGATTTTTATCCCCAGACTAAACGACTACAGTCGCCCTGTTTTTGAAACAGAGTCGCGCGAGGCGACCGTTAGGATCAAATTCACATTCACAGGTAACTAGCTAGGAGTAAAGAAGAAGAACCTGTGAGGCTACGGCGACGAATGGACCTTTGAATTAGCCTAATTCTAGGAGAAAAAACATTCTCGATAAGTAGACGAAATCCGGGCACCGGTACGAAGAACTACCGAACCGAGCAGACCGCCGCGTTTGTTGTTGTCTGCTGTGTGTGGCAGCAGCACCAGCCAGTCTGGAGCAAGTTCACCCGAGCAGTAGTTTTGCTGCTGCCAGCACGACAGCCGAGCACATGGAGTGAGTCAGTCGGAGGAGAACAGAGCCCCTAGCACAGCTCAGACTTCATGATGGGAAAGAAGCAAAGTCCTCTAGCGTCAGGAGAAAGCAGCGAGGGGAGCGGGTTCAGCTCAGAGTGCCCGGGCGTTAACGAGGGGCAGCGTGTGGAGGACGGCGGCCGGGGGCAAACGCGGGAAGCCGGAGCGGGGACAGAGCGTCGCCAGAGCTTTACCGCGTCTTCTTATGGGGTCGAGAAAATGGGTTTAAGAAGTTCCCCTGTGAGAAACAGCGTCGGGAATGGAGAGAGAAAGTTTGCCTTCTGTGCTTGGAGTTGGTGGGCGTTCTTATGTCTCCACGTCCACGTGTCCACAGCTGTGATACAAGGTGAGAAAATCAGTGTTTGTTTTTCTTTAAAAAGGGACGCGCCTGTTCACCGGCTGCTCAAAATCGCCTTAATGAGGCGTTGTGAGAAAGGAGGGAGAAGGAAAGTGAAATCGGCGCCTCCCTTCTGGACCCTGTGACAAATGAGCAAAAGCTGAATGACAGTGTTGTCGGGTTTGACCCTCTTGCTTGATTTCAATAATAATGGCGGTGAGAACTGGCTGTCTGGGGCCTCAGAGCTTTGCGCGTTAACAAAAAGACAGAGTCATTAGGTCAGACTGGCAGAGCACTACTTATGGCTCTCCTGGTCACAGATGGCAGCGTCTGCTTTCCACGTCCGCTCTGTTATTGGCATCTGAATTCAGTAATGTGCCCCCACCCCCTCAGTCTTGAATTCGTTGTTTATTTGTGTCCAGCTGGACCTGAGTGAAAGCTGTAGGTGTTAATTCGTCACCGGGGGTTTTGCTGTGTGGAAAGTTTGGCAGTTGGGAGGAGAGGAGGGAAAAGTTTCCTCTCAGATATTAGACCATTGTTCCAACATACATCGCTGTACTTAATTAAAGTGGAGGCATTTATTTGCTGACTTGTCCAGTCGTTAAACCCTAATTCTCTGTTGTCACTGGAAAATGGATACCTTTCCTAAGTAGCAAAGGTCCGTTCACATGCTGTATTCCAAAGCCTCCCACTTGGACTCCCTCCAAAGTTTGCATCAGGACCATGTTTACTGGATTTATTTGACAGAGAAAGCCATGATATGATAATCTGCAAAATAAGCCATGTGTAGAAATGAGCAGCCGTGCATAATTATTGATGGCAGGCTCTTTTATTCCTCTGTCAAGTGATTTTATTGAAAATAATCAAAACAGCATGGCTCATTAAATGGGATTCTTATAATTCCCCCAATATTGCACAGATTAGAGTCATTTTCGCCTGGTAATCAAAGGGATAAATGATCAAAAATAAGCTACTTGAATTTGCATGAGTAGAAAGGCACATCCAGCCTCCAGCTATCTCCACCCACCATATATGTATTTTTGTCACTGGAGATGTGTCATTTGCATTTCTGAAGACAAGAGAAAATTAGTGTCAGTGATTATCCTTTTTAAGGAGGGTTTCAATAAGACTCACAAACAGGCAGCCTTCGTTTTAAGCTCTAAACATATGTGGGCAAGAGCTTGGAGATGTCACGCTTAACATAGACTGTAATTATAGGTGCAGTTTACCATGGTTTAACTGTACATGATGCAAAGCCTTGGCAGGATTGATAAACTGTTGCCTCATTATGAAAAAAAAAAAAAAAATCAATGGGTCATTGTAGAATATGTTTATTCATTCAGGTATAAGCGCTTATGACTAAATGGTGTTTTTACTGCATCATTGGTAGTTTCTTAAGCTGTTTTTATGTGGTAGCAAGAATGACTGCAGTTGTCTGCAGCTTTTAAAGACTTTGAAGGCTGGCGATTACCCAGCTTTAATGATGTTGCTAACATCAGTGACAAATATGAGCTTTAAAAAGGTCCATGTTTTGAAGCAAGCCAGTACTGCCAAGAGCTTGAGCTTCAAAGAAATAAGGGTACTTAGGATGAAACCAGACGTTCAGGGTCCAGTTAATAGCTTTGGGTATTACTATGAACTTTGAAACGTAGCCCGGTAGTTACTAAAATATGAAAAAACTTTTTGGAATGGGATTTTCCACTGTTGCTCTTGCTGCCATGTGAAAGTTGGGTCGAAAACAAACACAGATGCTGTATACGTGTGGGTAGTTTTATGACTCACAGATAGTAGTAGATAACATCACCAGCCTTATTTGTTTACTACAGTTACTCTAGTTCTACAGTCCATAGTTGCTGTAGAGCTTCATGTTCATATTTTTGTCGTAAATTCTTAACAAGCGATTGAGAGGGTGCTGAAATAATAACCTGTCTTTTGTGTGAGTTAATGCTTTCAATACTTCAAAGTCTACATCTGTTTCAACAGTGATTACTGATTAACTTTGAACACTGAGGAAAAGACCTTGAAATCTCTTTGAAAAGTATGTATAGGCTAAAAGCAAGTCAGTCTAAATAGGTTCAGGACTGCATTTTTACACTGAACTCTGAGTGGAATTAATGCCATACAAGACTCTATACTGCATTACTTTTTAGTTTCTATACTACAATTTCTAAAAGTTCAACAAAGTTAAGTGCAAGCAGTGTCAGCTGATTCCCTACTCCTGTGTCAAGGTCTCTTCATATTTGGAGAGCTCCCAGCACAGTTCTGGGAATGGGCTAGCTGGTATTGATCTGATTTGAGGAGCCAGCAGCATTATCAGAGCTTGCATACTGGGATAGAGTTAACGTCTTAACCTTTCCATTTCATTCAATGTGGGAATAAAAAGCTCAGTGTTATACAAAGCACCCTTCCTTAGATCTTCAGCTTTACCTTGTTGTTTCTGTTGGAATATGGTAGCGTCCAGGTCGTGAGTTAAAGCTGAGATCATGCAGTTTGTGTGCCAAGAGGGCATGGGCTGGCCTTAGTGCCAGGATGTGACAAATGGGGATAAATTTAGTCGTTTGGAGAAACTGATTTCCTTCCAGAATCCTAGAGTTTCATCAGGACACAACGCTAGTAGTGTTCGAACCTCTTATACAGACAGACCACAGCAGTCATGGAGTTGCACAAATCACAGCTGTGCTTCTCTACTAGCAGCGTCTGTGCCTGTAATAGTAATGACTAATAATGTTTGTCCCTATTGCTCAGGTAAGTGTAGTCTCGTCCATGTTTAAATGCTATTGCCTGTACATCATCTGTTGGTTGTGCCAGCAGACAAAGCCACATTGCTCATTTCTGACTGTAAACCTTTGCATTTAATTGCCACACCATCTGCCCAATCAGTTTACTGCAGGCGCTTCTGGTTTCTTTTTTCCCTCTCTATCTTTCTTTTTTCAGTAGGCTCTTGTGTATCGGAAGCATTTGCCTTAGCCCGCATTGGGGGATTTGAACATTTGTGTTGTGATTGTTAGGAGCGCTAGGCGAATTCAACAGCACAACCACATGTAATTTCTTGATTGTCATTCTTTCGGCCATTGATTTGTAGTCGGGCGTTCAAACAGGAGGCTTTATAACCGTAACTGATTGATTTGTGTGGACATAGAATGCATGTGCAACTATTGAATTTCGCAGGCCCTGTGTTGCAGTCTAATCGAAGTGAAGGATGTCACATAATTCATGTCAGCGCTGAAATATGGCTTCCTATCTGCTAAATTAAAACGATGAGTATGACTCTTCAGAACAAGGAACCATGCCTAAGCTGGTTAATATGAGATTCTGTTTTCCCTCCCTTGTCTTTTCTGCATGTCTTAAAATGAGGTTAATCATCAGTTGTGTTATTTCAGAGAAGGTTAATGAAATTATGAATTATTTTCCCTAGGGTGAGGGCAGCATGCAAGTAGTTATTTTACTTTTCTTGATTTTGTTTCACAAAACTTTGATTGCATTTTCAGTTGATTGTGGTCTGAATTAATTGCTGGGACCAGAAATGACTCTTGTGTTAGCCTCGGAGGTCTAGTGCAGGTCATATTTTTAGATTAACACAGAAAAAGGTATGCTCATATGACCATACTGATTTGTTAAGCAGTTCAAGTAAAAACGCTTTCCTGTGAGTCCAGTTTTGCAGTAACCCCAGAGCACTGGCAAGATAATACAAACACGCTACCTCTTGAAAGCTTAATTTCCTCTTTACAGATGGGTAGATAATAGGGTGCAGCCTCTAGCTGTCATCTTGTCTGTCATGGGAAGTACAAGCAAAGACTTCATTTTGACATCAAATGTTACAAGTTTCATATCATAATGAAAAATGAGCACCTCTTGGAACTAAATAAAGGGCAAGCCACATTGCCATTAACAGCTAGTGAACTGTCACATCTTCATAACAGACTGTATGATTGTAAATGAGCAAGTGGCAGTCAATGGGGTTTTAAAAAGGTTGAAAATAAAAATCAATAATGTGATCAACCTTAAAGTGTTCTTTCAAAGCTTTCACCAGTCTTCATGGCAAACAGCAGAAGAATGGCTAAATGTGCAGAGTTATAATTTGCCCTGTCACCTGGCTCATGCTAAGCAGGCTAACATCTGACACATTTTTGTACTTCATTTTAAAAAGGCTTTGAAGTCTATATAAGTTGTGCAAAAGTAATAAACATAGTTGACTAGTTTGAATGTAATGTAGATGTTACAGTATGCCTTAGTAGTGACCCTGTCCAGTTACCAGTCCTTATCTCTCTATCAGTTGTCATTATCTATCACGACAAGTAAAGGCTGCACTAGAGCTGTATAATACTGAAAAAAATGAATAAATATTGTATCAAAATACCTTCATAGTGATATGAATTGTAAAGAAAATGAATAGGAAAAAGGAAATTCCATTAATCACATTCATTACTCGAAACATCATAGTACAGTAAATAAATGTTAATTGAGTGAATAACTCATGAGTTGAGTGCCTAAGGTGTCATCTTTACTGCTTGTGTTTGCTGACAATCTATTTGAGATTTACTCAAGAGCTGCAGTAAAACTGTTGAATATAATACATTTAAAGAGACAGCGTTAATAAATAATAAAAGAATATTAAATCATATCAAGATAAAAAATGATTGTCACTTAGCTCTAGGCTGGACTCACTTCTTTCAAGGCATGTAGGGTCTGCTGCCACATCTTTTCATATCACATGAAATGCAGCACAGTCAAGAGAAGGCAGCGCTAACCTTATTGTATAACCTTGCTGAGTGACTGCATAGACTGAACATGCTTCTCCTCAAATATGAGCTGGAACATGTGTTGTGCCATGGGTTCATTTAAAACTAATGAACCAGGGCTTTGTGTAAATAATCCCCACAGACTGCTTGCACGTTGTTGAAAGGAGGCTTGAGGTCCTCTGTAGTTCAGCCTGTTATCAGGGTGAAAACTTTGTCAACAATTAACTTTAAGATCTAAATAGCCTGGTATTTTGTTCCAATTTCTCTTTT